CTTCATTGTAGCTTAAATGCCAGCACTGTGCATGTGGGACAGGGCACAAGACTGGGCATGGAGTTGAGGGCAATCTGTGGCCGAACTTGGGTCTAAGGGATGATTTCATCTGAATTTGAGATGCTTCAGATTTCTTCATTTTAGGCAAAAGTTTGTATTCTGTTTTTTACCCTAGATAGTCAACACACAGTGTCTGCATTTTATTCTAGGGCGTTCTTTGAGAAGAGATGTAGAAAACCAAAGTGATTGGGGGTGGGGGTGGGAGGCGGTGAGAGGCAGCCAAGTGCCAAAGGGACCAGATGTGTCAAACCATGTGAGAAATGGTTAGGAAGTTCGGAGGGCTTGCTATGTTCTTGTAATATTCAAGGAGCTACTGGACAGAGAAAGGCTGGATGTTTTATGAGGAGTAATAATTTGTTGAAGCTGAAAAAATACTTGAGAAGATTAATTGAAAAGAAATATTCTGGGATACTGGCTCTTCTATTTTTTTTTTTTAAGATTTTATTTATTTATTTGAGAAATAGAGAGAGAAAAGGAGCAGAGGTAGGAGCAGAGAGGGAGGGAGAAGCAGACTCCCTGCCAAGCAGGGATCCCCACGAGATGTGGGGCTCAGTCCCAGGACTCTGGATCATGACCCAGGCCAAAGGCAGTGGCTTAACCAACTGAGCCACCCAGGTGCCCCCAGCTCCATGTAGTGGCAATACTGGTGCACTGATGGCCATCTTGGAAAAGTTTTATGTGTCTTTGTGGAGAATTTTGTTTAGCCCCCATTAGTTTTGTTCTGTTTTGCTTTGCTTATTTATTCTTTGTATGCCGTTGTTCTTTGCTTTTCTTCTTAAATTTGTTTCTGTTTTTACCTTTGCCTATGAAGTGAATATTCTAAAAAGCCCTAAAAATCCTATATCTGCTATTTAGATTCCTTTACCTTTGGTGAAAGTTTTGTTTTGCTTTATGAAAATACACAAAAAAACCCCTTCAGTTGATAAAACAGCAGCACATGACTGAGTAGGAGAAGTCGCCAAACTAGTCATCTTTATATCGTTAATGGCCTGATGACTCAGTATCATCAGCATCCTTACGGCAGTCACATGCAAGATCAGAAACGTGTGTCTGCCCTTACGAAGGTCAGAAGTTGGAACAATGGAAAGAAACATGACGACTCCTATAATGTGGACGCATTTGAGAAAACAAAGATGAGTGTTGTGTTCTAGGTAATGCAGTATCAAGCTTATCTTCAGGGACATCAGACTCTCCTTCTGCATGGCAAGTGCTCAGGATTTCACTTGCTGACATTGGCGTCTGCCATTGATGCCATGGTATGACCAGTCTAGACTTTTCCCTGCATTCCCATTGCAGCAGCCTTTCCTTTTCAGTGTAGGCACAACCCTGATGGGACAGAAATGTAAAGATGGTGGTGACAGAGTATCACAGAGCAGCAGGAGTTTTGCTAAATAAAAGTGGTTTACCTGTCAAGGAAATATTAACATCAAAAATAGCAAAAGTGGGGCTATAGAGAATAAGTAGGTATCTGTGAATACAAGGTCTTTTTTTTTTTTTTTTAAGATTTTATTTATTTGACAGAGATCACAAGTAGGCAGAGAGGCAGGCAGAGAGAGAGAGGGGGAAGCAGGCTCCCCGCTGAGCAGAGAGCCCGATGCGGGGCTCGATGCGGGGCTCGATCCCAGGACCCCTGGATCATGACCTGAGCCGAAGGCAGAGGCTTTAACCCACTGAGCCACCCAGGCGCCCCTACAAGGTCTTTTTTTAACCAAATAACCAAAGAAGCTTTAAAGTATATAAAATGTAGCTTAAAAAAGTAGGTGACTTTAGGTTTCTACAGGTTATGAACACTCAGGTGGTAAGTGTTAACATGTATCATTTTTTTCATGTATCAAGTGTTTTCAGAAAATTGAGTTCCTTTGGAGCAAAAATTAAGACATTTATGGAAATATCGCCAAATAAGCAAACTGAATATAATTGGCAGAAAATTAACTATAAATATTATAAGATAAATGGAAAACACCCTGAAAAATTCTAAAAAATGAACAAAAAGATTTAAAGACAGATAACTATTTGAAAACTTACCCCCAGGATATGCCCAAATTATAGATTTATGAAAAACCATGGACTGAAAATATTTGTTTCTAACCAAGTTATTTCCAACCCATTCCTCTGGATAGGTTTCAAGGGGCTCAAGGTCATACTTAGGCCAATAAATGGAAGCTATAGGAAGACAGATTTTGACTCAACTTATCAACATTCTAACGATGTTGTCCAAACAATGAAAGAAGGGATACAGAAAGTTTTTCCGTAACTAACAATGTTCAGGCACAAACTAGATGAAAAGATGAGTATGTTCTAGAAAGAACTAAAGGACAGATGGGGGTTAGACTATTGGTGAGTTTTTAAGACCTAAACTTAGTGAAATTAAATTATTTATTTCCAAATCAATAGGAGACATAAGACATAGACACCTGATGTCACAGACAACACAATCGAATATAAACACGATACTGTGTGATTAAAGGGCCTGATGTTTGTCTTTGGCTCTCTTAGCTGAGCTGATGAAATGTGCCACTTAACATCTATGACTTTGACTGTTCTTGATAAAGAAGATACACATTCCTGTACAAATATTAAAGATTTTTTCTTTAATTCTTACTGGTTGAAAAGAACAGAACTTACCCTTTGTACCTCCCCCAACAGTTCATGGAAATGAACTGTTCTCTCTTTATCAGGAGAACACACCCAGCTAAAAATGGACCCAATGTAACCCTGAAAAATACAGAGATATTAGTTAAGCTTCTAAGGACACAGCAGTCCTAAGGCCGTCCCTTTCCTGGATGGATGCAATTTTCTAAAAGACAATTTTTTAGAGTGGCTTTAGGTTCACAGCAAAATTGAAAAGAAGGTACGGAGAGTTTCCATATACCCCCTGTCCCCACACATGCACAGCCTCCCCCATTATCAACATCCCCCACCAGAGTGGTGCATTTGTTACAATTGATGAACCTATATTGACACGTTATTATCACTCAAAGTCTGTAGTTTACAACTGGGTTCACTTTTGATGTTATGCATTCTGTGGGTTTGTACAAATGTATAACATCATATATCGATCATTATAGTGTCATAGGGAGGGTTTTCATTGCCCTGAAAATCCTCTGTGCTCTGCAGATTCATCCTCCCCCCACCCCACGGCCCACCCCACTTCAAACCACTGGCCACCACTAATCTTTTTTACTGTCTCCATGGTTTTGACTTTTCCAGAATGTCATCAAGTTGGAGTCAAACAGTATTTAGCCTTTTCAGATTGCCTTCTGTCACTTAGCAATATGCATTTAAGCTTCCTTCATGTCTCTCCATGGCTTGATAGCTCATTTCTTTTTAATGCTAAATAATATTCCATTGTCTGGAAGTACTACAGTTTATTCATTTACCTGCTGAAGGATATCTTGGTTGCTTCCAAATTTTGGCAGTTAGGAATGAAGCTACTGTAAAACTGCTGCTACTGATTTTAAGATAAACCATATGTACTGTGTTACTGTAGTTATTTATCTTGGTAAAGGAATTTAGCCCTGTGTTTGAAACATTCTAGATTTGAGTTGTTCAATAGTATCATATGGGGAGACTATACTAAGAATTATCCTTTTCATTTTCATAAAAATTAATTTTTATGTAAATGCCATCTGGCATGAATCCCTACTGTGTGCCAGGCGATGGAAGATACAGGAACAAAAGCGTCTCTGTCCCCAAGAGAGTCTAGAAAACAAGCATTTATTAAATGGCTACACAAGTCTACACACATAGGAAATAACATTGGTTCTCTATGGCTGGGACATTAGAGTAAGGAAGTTTTGACCTAGGTCATGCCTTTTTTTCTAGAACACACAAATGAAATATAAGAGAAAAATAACATTTTTGATTAGTGTTAATCACTTCCACATTCTTTTCTTTCTCTTTATTTACCCTAACTCTTCTTGCAGCCTTTATTCCTTTTGGTTTTTTCCTTCACTGATCTGCATGATGTCTTTCTCAAGATGCATTTCTTTTGAGGCTCTGGATTCCCTTCATGGATGTTCCCTCATCGGTATGGTGGATGAGTGTTATTGACAAAACTGCCACCACCCTTCTGTTGCAACTTTTAGAGGTTTTTGTGTGTGTTTTAATTGGCATCATCATGTAAGAAAGAAAAGTCCCTGTGTGTGTATTTTTTTTTAAAGATTTATTTATTTATTTATTTGGCAGACAGAGATCACAAGTAGGCAGAGAAGCAGGCAGAGAGAGAGGGGGAAGCAGGCTCTCCGCTGAGCAGAGAGCCCGATGCGGGGCTCAATCCCAGGATTTTTTTTTTTTTTTAAAGGACCCTGAGATCATGACCTGAGCCCAAGGCAGAGGCTTTAACCACTGAGCCACCCAGGTGCCCCGTGTGTATGTATTTTTAAAAGTAACCTCTACACACAATGTGGGGCTCAAACCCATGACCTGGAGATCAAGAGTCACATTCTCTTCTAACTGAGCCAACCAGGCACCCCCTAAAATGTCCACGTGTATAGAGGCATAGCAAAAAAGCAGCTGGGGACACACTTCCAAGCCAAATAAAGTGACTTCACACCATAGGTGTCATGTCCGTAGAACTTAGGTGATTGTCTTATTGGCCTGGTATCTCTGAACAATTAAAGAAACAGGAAACCCTCCCATGGTCTGTAATTTTTAGACTCTGGAAAAAGCATCTTGAAAACACACTTCGTTAGATTTAGTTGGGGTTTGTTTATTTATGAGTAAAGCACTCTACTTTGGTATTATCTTTCTTCCCTATAGTTTGTCTCCTAAACTGAGGTAAATCAATGGCACCTACAGTTTTCAGAACTAAATTGACTGGCCCACTCAGGCCAATGACTTTGCCAGGTAACATCCTTTGAATGACCTCATATGTCTATGTGTGTCAAGAGACCTCAATCTCAAGCAACATTCTTAAAAGGCCTTTGTGTTCTCTTCAGTGCCAGCACGTCAAATATTGCCAGGATAGAAGAAATGGAGAGACTTTTGAAGCAGGCTCACGCAGAGAAGACCCGGCTGCTTGAGTCCAGGGTAGGCGTACTATCTTTACACAAGAGGTCCGTGAGGCAACGGTTCATCCTGCCTGCACGTGACAGGAAACTGTCCTTGGGTCTTGAGAAGCAATATAATCTTGGGAGTAATCACTCAACCCTGTTGGTCTCATTTTTTTTTTTTTTTTTTTATCTGAAAAGTAACGGTGGTAGAGAAGATTTCTAAGGCTCCTTACTGCACCACAATTTTTTGTAATTTAAAATATGTAGAGTCAGTGTCGACCGAAATGAGTGCTTTGTATTGCATTTTCCCTTTGATGGACACTTTGTTTGCCTGCCAAGGAACAAGGAGGAATGTCATATCTTTATGGACTCTCCCTTCCTTGCCAGCTTGTGTGAACTGTGCTATTATAATATTTAAAATCCCAAGTTATTGTGACTGTATTTCAAGCCAGAATCTGAACTTCCTTAGGAATCCCCCAAAATGCCTTTGCATCCTGCCTTAAAGGGCCCCACCTTTCCTCTTCTGACTTCCCTCTGAGCTTCCTCTGCCTCTGACCTTAAGCCAGGAAGCCGCAGAGCAACAAAGGAACTGGAAGGACCAGGACTGATGGCCTTTGGTTAAAAGACGGCCTTCAAAAGGAGGCTAAATGCCTCGATTAGTGTTGGGTGACAATTTGTGATCCTTTTTATTAAAAGTGGGAGAGCGGTGGTCGTCTGTATGAAATGACTGAATACCACAAGTGGGATTTTCACCCAATATTCAATTGTTGGTGAAATGTGGTGGCTGCCTTTCTGTGTGAGATGATTTTGAAAACTATGTGAGAGAAGTGATTTTAGTCTAGGAGGTCTATTGGAGCACCCAGGCTATACAACCAGCAATTATCTAGTGTGAATTTTCTTTTCCATTAGTTTTTGGAATCGTTAAAGGGTAACCAACATGTCTTAATTTTGTTCTGCATGATGATATTTAGGAACGGGAAATGGAAGCCAAGAAACGAGCTCTGGAAGAAGAAAAACGACGCCGAGAACTTCTGGAAAAACGATTGCAGGAAGAAACTAGCCAGCGGCAGAAGTTAATAGAAAAGGAAGTAAAAATACGGGAGAAACAGAGGGCACAGGTTGGTGGGCCTCTGGATGGCTTAGAATAGGTCGCCCCCTGGTGGCCATTCTGCAGAAGACGGTCATGCTCGTCAGGATGCCTTTCCAGACCCTTTGCCGTCAGCAGCCCTTGACATGTGACTGATAAGAGACAGATGGGGGGGTTCAGAGACCAAAAAATGTATGTTTATCTCAAAACCCATTGGGATCTACTAGCCAAATGGCACATTTCTGTAGTCATGCATGGTACATTTTTATGGGAGAGGCATTTTTTTCTTCTACCCCTTTTGTGCAGTATATTTAAAAGAAGCATGTTTTTTTCTAAGCAGCTTTGAAAAACGCAGTTTGACTTACCACTGAAAACAAATAGAACACCCAAACTGAACCTTTGGTTGAGGAAGAGAAGAGGGTCTAGTAAGCCATTTTTGGAAGCAAACACTCACTCCAGAACAAATAACAATTTTACCAACCCAATTTCTTGGTAGTGTTAGTGGGTTTTTTGTTTTGGTTTGGTTTTCTAACCACTGTATTATCACACATGTCCCTTTGCTACAGCTGTCCACACATGTGTGCAAGGTCTCTGAACTCAAACAAAACTCAGGAAAACCACGCATTTCCTTTAACTTCCTCTCTGGCTTATCTTAGAGTTTGAATCTCTGTCACTAAGGCTGCCTACATAATCTATGTTTGCTGAGGAACTAAAATGAAATTTCATCCAGTGCCCTTTAATATAAGGTTCAAATCCATTTTGCCAAGGTTTACTAGGCTTCATAAAAGGTGCCATTTCCCCTATTCTTTATAGTTGCTGGCAGTGTGGTAACAGCAGTGAGAGACTGACTCTCTTGAAGACTCTGTGTTTTGAGGCATCAGTGTCTGTGACATCTCTCTGAAGTCAAACACCACAGGATCAAAGGCAAAATATTGAAGGAAAAGTACAGAGGAAAACGTGTTCATTTTATTTCATTATGTTGATCCTCTGCCAAATTATGATTCGCAGTGAAGGTCATCCATGCCTGCCTATTATTTGAAGCCAAACCAGAAAGCATAATTCTATTTTAATCCTAATGATAAGGTTTGCCTCTAAGTATATATTTAGGTCATTTTCCCCAGGGCAGAGGGGTGGGGTTATTTAACAGAATAAATGAAACACCATCTTAGAAATATGACCCTTGGCGATATAAGCTTCCTGGATTAGATGATCCTTTCCTCCAACCATAGTAAAATAAAAAGCATCTATGTAGCTCTTGTTCATATCTGCTCATTGCGCAGCTCATCGAGTATGGCTTTGATTCTATTGCTTACCTTATTTTAGCTTCACTTTTCAAAACCAACATCTCTGCCTTTGATTTCTATCAGGGAGTGTGTGTGAGTTGATGTGTTATAGCTTTGGGAGATCTTGCAGGGGGTAAGGTGGGGGGAAGTACTAAATAATGTTCACCCATCAGGTCATGTCTGAGAATACTGAAGAACTGATGTTAGGTTATATTGGGAGAGGTTCAGGGAACTTCACAGGAAAGGAGTCCTCATCTGGAGGAAGCAGCCAAGGGAACTTCATGCCTCACAGGATTCCCTGTTTTTAAGTGCTAAGTACCTCCTACAAAGCTAAGATTAATGGCATTTTCCATTTTCTCCACTGTCCATTTCTTTCTTTTTTTTTTTTTTTAAAGAGTTTATTTGACAGAGATCACAAGTAGGCAGAGAGGCAGGCAGAGAGAGGGGGCGAAGCAGGCTCCCTGCTGAGCAGAGAGCCCGATGTGGGGCTCGATCCCAGGACCCTGAGATCATGACCTGAGCTGAAGGCAGAGGCTTAACCTACTGAGCCACTCGGGTGCCCCTTCTCTGTCCATTTCAAGGAGTAGAATCTATTCCCCTGAGTTTATCCACCTCCCACCCCCACATATTGTAGCATCCTTCTTAAAATACTATGCACTTTTTAAAACTCTAATGTTTATCTCAAGTTCCTCTAATCATATGGACATTTTAACACTTAGGCTTTTCAGTTCATGTCCACACCTAAACATCTGTGGCCTGAAACGCAACAAATATTTAGCTATATTTGACATGGTTTTCTCTTCCAGGCTCGACCTCTGACGCGCTATCTGCCTGTCCGGAAGGAAGACTTCGATTTGCGAAGCCATGTAGAGACTGCTGGCCACAATATCGATACCTGTTATCATGTGTCAATCACAGAGAAGACCTGCCGAGGATTCCTTATCAAAATGGGTGGAAAAATTAAAACGTGGAAAAAACGATGGTTTGTTTTTGATCGGAACAAGCGCACATTCTCTTATTATGCAGGTGAGTGATTAAAAGAAAACGCTAAGTGATATAGTCAAATCAGGAACTCTCTGTTAAAGAGCAAAGGTAATAAACTTCAGGCTGGATGGGTTGATTGGTAAGTAATAGAATTAATGGCAATCTTGGCTTTGCAAGTATGTATTATTTTATATTCAGGATAGTCCCCCTGATATGAATTTCTTCTCTAGAAATAGTAAAAACTACATATTATTTTAAAAAGTGTGAATTCGTGGGGCACCTGGGTGGCTCAGTCAGTTAAGCGTCTGCCTTCAGCTCTGGTCGTGATCCCAGGGTCCTGGGATCGAGCCCTGCATTGGGCTCCCTGCCCAGCAGGAAGCCTGCTTCTCCCTCTCCCACTCCCCCTGCTTGTGTTCCCTCCCTCTCTGTCTCTTTCTCTCTGTCAAATAAATAAATAAAATCTTAAAAAAAAAAAAAAAAGTGAATTCATCTCTTCCAGTTCTGAAATAAGCTGAAGTCCAAATAAGTAGTAAATGGAATTTTCCTTTTTAGACCAACATATTGGCTTTTAAACCATGAGGCCAGAAAAAGGTTTCTGTTTATTTATTTATGGTCATCTGCCCTATTTAAGTCACACACAATTAGGCAGCCTTGCTGACAGTCACTCAGCTAGAGTTTATAGACTAGAGTGATTATTGAAGCAGAGGGTAAAGCTCATCAGCGAACCAGTGAACAAGTATTTACTAAGTGACTGAATTCTTTTTGGATTCTTTAAATGATGGATTATGAGAAAACTACCCTACTGAATCTTTGAAAAATACAGGAATATGGATGTAACTGAGGTTCTTATTAAGAAGTCTCCCAGGTCACATAGGAAACACATCCATCATGAGTCCAGGTCACGTTCTGCTCTCTTCAACAATTGAAGAAAAGTAGTATCAAGCCAGAGGTCATGAAGAGACCCTTCTCTGTGGTGAAGGTGTCACCGTTTATGAGCACTGTCAGAAATTGTTAGACCGGTGTCATAAATAAGAAAAAACGGCCCAGTCCCTTCATCTATGGTGTGAGGTCAGGATACATTTATAAAGAGAAGTGTAAGTGACCAAGAAGCCATGTGAAAGAAGGGGAACACTGGCTTGTGGGGCCCCAGAATTGGGATGAGAAGGGGGTAGGGGTGCATACCTTTGGGAGCACTTTGGTGGGGCTCCAGTTAATCCAGCAGCTAGTGGCCTGAAGCAGGTGGCCCAACCCTCAGGGGCCCCGCTTGCCTCTCTTGAGCTTTCTGATGTCGGGTTTATTAAGAATCCAGAGATGTTCTCTTCAGTTAGTAAAACAGAAAAGATGCTAGTTGAAGGAGAAATCCCAATTTAGCGTCTGTAAAATCCACAAACAAAACTTTGCACTGTGCTAGTCTCCACAGACAATCTCACCCAGAATTTTCCAAAAGTAAAATTTTAATTAGCAGCTTCAGACAAAACAGCTTCACTCTTCTCTGCTTCTCTTCTCTTTCCTTCCTTTGGCAGACTGATTAGTTGCTTACTTCCCCTTCCTTCTGACCCATGTCAGAACCTGTGCTCCTTCTGACCATGTAAATGCATTTTTCCAAATTCAAACTTCTTGATGATCAGTTTTCATTTTGTTTTGTTTTGTTTTGTTTTAAGGACCAAAACCATTTCAGTATATGAATGATTACTCAGAACTGTAATACATAATACAGGCAAAAAATTACATTTCATTCAGGTCTTTATTTTTATTATTTTTTTAAGATTTTATTTATTTATTTGAGAGAGAGTGCAAGAGACAGAGCACAAGCAGCGGGGAGGGAGAGGGAGAAGGAGAAGCAGACTCTCTGCTGAGTTGGCAGCCCCACGCAGGGCTTGATTCCAGGACCCCTGGATCCTGACCTGAGCTGAAGGCAGATGCTTAACCGATTGAGCCACCCAGGCACCCCTCATTCAGGTTTTAATATTTACATATTATATAACTGGCCAGGGAGTCCTAGTTTGACAAATGCTGTTCGTTTGGCTCTGTTTATAGCCATCATTATCTTGTCTACTCCCCTCACCTCCAGTCTCCCCAAACATCACCAAGTGCAGGAATAGATCAGTCCATAGGAAGCCATAGAGATCGCAGTTCAGGCTGGACTGGACCCCCCAGGCACCGTACCCCTTCAGCTCCCGCTGAGGTAGATGGTCTCTGTGTTTGTGAAGGAGCTGTCACCATGAGTGCTGACACTGTTCTAAGTCCCTGTGCTGATCATGCCCCCAGGCCTCCATATTAACTCGGTACCCTTAGGAAAGTCTCTAAAGAAAACTAAGACCCAGAAAATATATCTGTAAATTGATGGGATAATGTGGAAACTGAATGAATAGCTTTCTCGTGTTAGTTTATAATAGCATTATTGATTCTCTAAGTTCACCCTGTCCTTGTGAGATCAGTGTTTTTTAAGCTCTTTCCCATATAAGAAGTGCCCTACAAACAAAAGTTTCATTCCCCAGTTTTCTGCCTCCTGGAAACACTGATAAGATTTACTTTCATCTCCAGATTTTATTTACCATCTGTTTTCAGAAAACAAAGTATTGCTGTGTTCCCATTAATATTACAGAATCCTTCCCCGTGAATATTTGAGAGACACACTGACCTCTTTAACAGAAACTGATGGAAACCCAATGAACGTGGCATGAATTAAAACAGTGTTTCCTGAGAAAGAGTAAAACAAACATACAAATATGATCCATGGTCAAATAAGTCATGGAAATATTGAGTTAAATATACTTTAACAGCTTTTTATTTTCCACTGAACTTCTCAGGGCTGTTGTTTTTCAGACTAGATTTTTGTTGTTGAAAAAAAGACATTCATGAATAAAATTCTTAAAAATAGAACAGAAGTCTATATAATGAAAGTCTCTTTCACATCACAAACGTTCTGACCTTTTCTCCATTTGCATATATGTTTCACTATATCTATGTATTCTTTCTTTTTTTATATAGTTGGGGCCAATTATTCACTTTGTTCACATAACAGTATTTCAAGATTTTTCTCTAATGAGCACACACAGACCTAGTCTTGAATTTCAGTGGCTGTGTGGATTCCACTGTATGGCAGATCTCTAATTGAATCGGTCCCTTGTTAAATTCAAGCAGATTTTTTGCAGTCTTCTGCCATAACAAACACAAAGCCATGTGCTTGTGCATGAGTAGCTCTGATACAATAAAGCTTGAGGAGTGGAATTGCTGAGTGAGAGGATTATTTACATTTTTAATCAGTTTGTTTTCCCAAACTGCCTTCCCAAAGCTTTCTTATTTGCACTTCCATCAGCAGCATATGATAGAGTCTCTTTCTTTGCAACCCCATCCATGCTTTTAAAATTCTTTAGTATGCTCACATGCATTTATGATCTTATAAAATAGTTCAAGAATTTATTAGATCCCAGAGGGATCCTGTTTGTTGCTGGTTTGGTTGGTTGGTTTTTGTTATTTTTTTTTAAGATTTTATTTATTTATTTGACAAAGAGAGAGACAGAGAGAGATCACAAGGAGGCAGAGAGGCAGGCAGAGAGAGAGGGGGAAGCAGGCTCCCAGCTGAGCAGAGAGCCCGATGCGGGGCTCAATCCCAGGACCCCAAGATCATGACCTGAGCTGAAGGCAGAGGCTTAACTCATTGAGCCATCCAGGCACCCCTGCTTGGTTGTTTTTGTTTGGTTTGGTTTTTATGGCAAATTTGATGAAATCGTAGAAATCGCTTGGAAAATGCTGCATTGAAAGGACATTAAATTACTGACAAGCTCTTTCAGGAACAGGAGAAAAAGCATGATGGATAAGAAATTCATAGGAAAGGAATATAAGTAGTATATTATTTTAAATGATGTCCAAAAAATACCCTTCTTACAAATTTCATTACAACAGCTCTGCATACTAATGTCTCCGGGACAACCACTGGTCTGGAGGATGTGAGGAGATCATTTGTATCAGTGTCAGTGGTGGTTATAATTTGTGTGCTAATTTGACTATCAGGAGCTCTGGGTTGTCTTTTGACTGAAGATTTGCTGGAAAGCCTTGAGCAAAGTCAATTAGTCTCTGAGGTCTGGGCTGAGTTTTCCTTTTTTTCATTGTTTTATTCAGTATAGAACTGGGCTAATGCCTTCACCTAAATTATCCAAATTAATCTTAGGTAATTTAAAAACTGGATCAGTATTGTAATAATTATACTGAAATTATAATGTTTCCAGTCATTCCGTGGTGATACAGTATTTTAACACTGTTATTGCAGACAAGCATGAAGCTAAATTAAAAGGAGTGATATACTTCCAAGCCATTGAAGAAGTGTATTATGATCACCTCAAGAACGCTAATAAGGTAAACACTGGTTTTCAGATTTCTGTCCTTTGAATGCATAATTAAGTTGGGAGAAAAGATGTTTTTTGAACCCCATACAATTTAGATTTGTTGTTCTGACATAACTGATTGATATAATAATTACGGTTCTAGAAAAGCGAACACAGAAGTAATTAATACAGCTGATCTTTTGAGGGGGAAAAAAGTCATGGTGAAGTGAGAAAATTGGTCATATTAGTTTAAAAGACCTTGTTAAGTGACTTTTGGTGAGGCTCTAAGAAGGAGCTGCTACTTGCTTGTAAGGAAGAATCTTAGCAGGCTAAGAAGAGCTGTCATTTATGAAGCACCCACTATCAAATAGGTACCGGCTAGAGCTCTGCCTACAACGTGTCTGCTGAGAGGACTGATTGACGATCTCTCTGTGTGAGATCTCTTGTGCAGAAAGTCTGGAAACACACCCGACCTCCAGAAAGCCGCTGCAGGTGGGGCCCCAGGTTCTACTAGAACAACAGTAACACCAATGTAGAGTTCCGTACATCTGGAACTTCTAAAGAGGAAGAAGCCCTCCCCTATGTCTGGGTCACTTAAGGTGATTTCAGGGTGTTTGTTCTACCTTCCTTTTCCTTTTCTGACTTTAGAGCCCTAACCCACTACTCACCTTCAGCGTCAAGACGCACGACAGAATCTACTACATGGTCGCGCCGTCGCCGGAAGCCATGCGGATCTGGATGGATGTGATCGTCACCGGCGCGGAAGGGTACACGCACTTCCTGTTGTAGGGCCTGGGCGCCACCGCCGACGGCAGGGCAGACTGCAGTAATCTCCTACGAGACTACGAGAACGAAGCCATGTTGGATCCCAGACGGGAGGACCCGGCGCGCCCATCCCTCTCGCTGTGTAGACTCAGAACTCAATCTTATATTAACAGGAAGTCATTAATAAAAGAGAGGAAAAGGGGTTTACATCCAAAGCTGGATCATAAATAGCGAAAGGATTGAAGCACCTATGAGAAAAAAAAAAAAATACCACTATTTTGGTAAATAGCATCACTTACAGGAACGTTTCTTATAAACTATTTTTGCCGATTGTTTACTTTGGTGAAATAAACGGAACGGTTTACAAAATGTGTGTACCTGGAAATATGAAATTATTGTAGCACCCCAGTTATTGGTAGTGACATTATTGCTTATCAACCGGTTTTTTAAAAAGCATTTTGCTGGGGGTTATTTTATAAATAGAAGCAAATAAGGGTTTGGAAGGGAATATATTTTTTGGCGGAGTTTTGCCCTAATTATTAAGTACTGTGCCTAAACCAAAGACTTGATATGACTTCTCTTTAATAGTGGTAGTTCCAGGCGATGAATCGCATTTAGTATTACTCTTCATTTTCAAATGGTACTTTGATGCCATCAACTGCCTAGAAAGTTGACTCTGAAGAGTTACCGCTGGTATAAGCTATTGTACATACAGAGCAAGTCACTTTTCGTAAAAGAAGAAAAAACATAAAGCTGTGTGTTTTAGACAGAAGCCGCCTTATTAAACAGACATTCTGTCACTTTGAGCAATTTAAGATAAGGAGACTATTTCATGGTTTGCTGAAGATTTCTCCATCCCCAGTGCTGAGAATAAAGGCAGCCAGCGGCTGATTTCTTTTAGATTGTCTGTTTCCTCTTTTTTGTGGAACACAGCTGTTGATTGCAGCCTCACGTGATATAATGATGAATCAGACCTCTGTTTTCACCAAAGAACAGACCAATTAAAATACTTACTTACTGAAGTAGCATAGTTCTATAAAAAGGAAAATGAACTTCGACTTAATGTTCTTTGTAATGTACAATTTCATTATGTATTTCTTTACATTTAGCCTTTGTTTTTTAGAGTTAAATTAATTTTTGTTGGATGAAATGACTTCAGGCAAGTCTGTTTTATAACAGTTTTTCAAATGACTTTATCCTGGTTTATTATGTTGTGTGTATTGCAAGTATGAACGTACTGTTTCCTAAAAATTGGCAAATGAATAGAAGTAGAAAATGATGACTTTGCTTACTAGTACAGGTGAAACAATTAGATTGAAAGTGTCCATAAAATCTTTGTCAGGCCTGATGGGGTACAATTCTTAAAACTTTGCGGTGTGGTTTGTATACATATTGCCAATAATAAGATTTTGCAACTGGATGACACATGATTTTACTTGAACAGTGGAGGACAAGGTCATGATTGCAAAAGACATTTTTATAATGTGTTTTTTTCAGAGAATCACCCCAAACCCCGTAATGATCTAAAAGAGTGAAATGCAATTGCTAACATTTTATTGGTCATTGTAAAGATATAACTTGTCTGTACTGTACTTTGTAGGATTATAAAGGTGTTCGAATCAGCATTATATCTTGCATGATGTAGTAAACCTTTTAAAACGTGTGTTAAAATATGTTGAGTATGGATTAAAATGTTGACCAGATTTCACATTTGAAAATAAACTCATCTCTCATGAGGCAGTTACCTGTTGGTGACATGACAGGGGATGGATTAATCAGCAAAAGTCAATTGTGAATCTCCACAAAAGTTGTGTGTTCACATTACGATTTGTAGTTTTATAAACCGAAGTAATTCTGAGTCTCTCTGGTCACATTCCTATTGCTAACAAAGTGAGATAACCCCTGACAAATCTGACATCTTACTGTCTTTTTACAGAAATGCAGTTATTACTGGGGATTGCAAGGACTGTGCCTACTTCTCCAGCAGGGAAAAAAATCATGCTTTACTTGATAGTGACTCATTTGTCTCCCTGGGCTAAGGCAGCAGATTTCAGAGAGAGAAATGGCCCTGCACAATATGTCCTATTGATAACTCCTGTTAAGGAATGCAACATTGACAGTGGGTATGGAAACAGATTAGTTTACTTCAAGCCCATCACTGTGGGTAAAAGCATCTTCACTTGACCTAGTCACAAGTTTTCCTGATTTGTTATACTGATAAGGGTGTGTAAAGAAAACAGTCCATGTACGGTACTTTTCCCATTATGGAGACAAGTCAGATTTTTTTTTTCATTTTGCTGCACATAAAATACAAGATTTGCAAAAATAAAGGGAGAGAATAAGGAAAGGAATGATTGAGAATATTTGCAATTATCCAAAAAACCACAGTGAGAAATGTTGATTATTAAGATACAAGGGATAGTGAAGTGATGTGCATTGTGTATTACCTTACTGATTTAATTCCTTTGTAGTTTACAACGGGCCTAATGGAGAATTGGCGAAATAGCTTACCAGCTTTTGGAGTACAACCTGAAATCAAGCAGCCCTCCTTGCTATCTATTTCTGGCACTACACCACTCAAGAAAGTATTTAATTTTTATTTAACCAAGTTTTTCAGTATGTTCCAATAAGACAGGTTCTCAAGACATACCAAAGATAGGCTGATTCACTGTATCCAGCTTTGCCTCTAACTCTAGCACCAATCATTGCTCCAAAATTTATGACCAATATATAAAGTGGCTTTACTTAAGTATTACACCAACCACAGTAACCTGAAGTAGAAAAAAAGAAGATCTTACGTGATGATGCTTGTCACCCCCAGGATTAATTGGAAGGGTCCCAGAGCTAAAATTCAGAAACCCCTATGCCCATTGAATGACTATTCAACCATTTTTCTATTATTGACTACTCCATTTTTTTTCTTCTGCTTCCTTCTAAAAATGGTGCAGATAAAAATTTAGCAGATAAAATCTGCTAAAAATTTAGCAGATAATATACCGCCTTATGAACTAGTGTTGTTTTCTACAGGAGAATCACAAAGTGGGGCCACTGGGTCAAGAGCACTGAAAATTATGCATATTTTATAAATCCTAATAGATGTGGTGAGATTACCTGACAGAAGAATTTAGCAGCTGACCCCCTACCAACCCTACACGAGTGCCAGTTTCCCAGGGTCCTTGCCAATAGTTGCTCTTTTTAATTTTTGCAAATCTGATGTGTGAGAAAAGTAACGTTATTTTTTCAATTTGCATTTTTCAATTAGTGAAGTTGAATATCTTCACGTATGAACTGCCTATTCACAGACATCGACTAACTCTATTGAAATTATAGATTTTTTTCCCCGTTTTTTTCTAGGAGCAGGCTGAATAGAAGTATTAACGTTCTGTTACCTGTTCTGTAAAATCAGTTTTTCTAGACTCCCATTTGACTCAAGATGAGTTTTGCCGTTCAAAAAGTTGAAATTTATATACATTTTTAAATGAATTTAGTTTCATATCTTGCTTAAGAGAGTCCCTTCTATCCCCAAACTATTAAAATATTCTCTGTACTTAAATCCTCTCAATTTTATTTTTCCGTTGAGATCGTTTATCTACTGGGATTTATTTTGCACATAACACGAGGCAAGGGACGGAGTAATTTAAAAAACAAACAAACAAACAAAACAACTGTCAGGCATCCAAAGAGCTTAAGCAAAATCGAAGGAGCGGTGGACAAGTCCGCTCTGGGTATTTCTGCAAGCAGGATTAAGGTCAGATCTTGGAAGCATTTCCGGTATGGCTTAAAACTATCAGGGCGGGAGAGCGATTTATAATGCAAGCAGCCTAGCTAGCATTTTATGCTTTCGCTCCCTAGTGTCCTCGGGATGATCAGATGGTTTCCTATCTAGGAACGTTGGATACTTATTCTCTCCGCACCCTCAGCCACGGAATATCTATCTGCTCATTAAAAAGGTCGGCTATTGAGGTCAATCAAAACATTCCCAGCCATCAAGGGCAAAAACTGCCGGAGAGAATCAGCTGTCCAATAGTGAGGGGAGGGCAAGCGCGACGACGCTCTGCGCATGTGCTCTCTCTGTTGAAACTCTCCCGGGGTGCTCTTTAGCAAGTCCGGGCTTCCGGCCGGTGGCGCATGCGCAGCCTAGTTATTGTGCGCTGAGCGACTCTGTAGGTCAGCTCGGTGCTCAGGGATTTCTGGGAAGATGGCCGCAGCCGGCATGGCGTCTCTGGGAGCTTGGGTACCTTGTCGGAGGTGGAGCAAAGCGGCCGTCTTCGGCTTCCACCGTGGCCTCACCGCATTATTCAAAAGGAAGCTCGAGGGGACGCCACGGTGGCTCCCAGGTTAGTGGCCGAAAGGCGGGAGAAGTACGCGTTCTTTCGAACATCGGGTTTAGTCCGTTCCTGTTTAGTGCGTTTTTGGCGCCCTATTTAAAAATGTTCATCCCCCATTCTTAGTATCCTTGTTTTAGGCGCTTTCAACAATTCTGGTGGAGGTAGTAAGAAGACCTCTTCTTGGTTCTGGGTATCCTGCCCCGGCCCTTGCTGGCGTTTTCCGCTTTGCAGTTTCAGGATGATACTCTGCCTGTCTCCCCGCGTTAAGCGCCAACACCGGGAAATATTAAGATGTGCGTTTATTAGTTGCTTTTTCTGTCTTTTCTCTTCAGGTCTAAGGGCTTTACAAATCTTGACTCTGTTAGGATGCTTAGACCTGCCTTTGCTTCACTAGAGGGAATTTACGATATGAACTTTTTTGTTGTTGCAAAAGTGTAGATTCGGTCATCCAGCCTAATTTCTGATTTTGCCTTTTCGATATTCCCAGCTCAGTGAAAACCATAATCATTACTCAACAAAGGAAACTAAAATTTGGACCAAAAATGAGAGCATCTGAATATTTTATCTTGTGTTTGTTTGTTCTCCGTACCACCCTACCCTCAGTATATGTAGTCTGTCTTTCTGAATTTTGTCTTTTTATTCTCCGGTTGTGTTGTTTACACCTTTGCCATAGAAGCTGCCGGGTGCGCTGTGCTTGCAATAGAGACGTCATTGCTGACACCCTTAGTTTTAGTTAAAAATTTTAAGTGTGTATAATCAGTTTAACTTACATTTAATTGTATACAACCTAAAGGCTTGTTGTATATAAGTTCCTCCAGCGAAGTATGGTATGTCAGTTCATTAACTAGACTGTAATACTCTTTCATCTCCTTGGCACACCGTTAAGGACTTATGCATCAGGCTTTGAGCTAATCCTTCTAATATAATA